CACTATTGTGGATGGAGATCCGCCATTTTTGAGGTATTTTTGGCTTCAAATCACGTGACCATATTTCAAATCCCTTATTATACATCTATGGTAGCCCCGTAGCAAATCGAATGAATTCACTACTAAAATGAGTGCCGAGTACCGAGTAACGAAACGTTTCATTCGAATGTCTTTCGTTACTCGCACGATTCCGTTCCTCGCATTTATTTTATAGCGTGCGTGTATTTAATTAGTAAAATAAAAATAACGCGCTATGCTGTACCAATTTATGCAATGTCAATGTTACGGGTCCATCGACGTTAGCACCCCTTTGACAGTTACCAACCCCATTGTGGACGGATAAAAGTAAGCGATAAGCACTAGATAAGGACTACAGAATAGCTGGTATCACTGTAGCAGTAAAACGAACAATAGATTATTCGTAATCATTGTATAATGTAGGTAGTAATGATGCACATTTGTAGTTTAATGCAACTTGTTCAACCGTGGCACTAAATTCAAACATACGGAAGGTAGTTGTGCATTATTATAAATGATTTACGCAAATATATTACAGCTATACAATTTGCCTATTCTTTTAGTACAAAATGTTTTTAGAAAATTGTAATAATATTAATCCACAATAACAGTATAACGTTCATTTTTAGTGACCTTTTGGACTATCTAATTTTAATATTATTACTGAGTCTGAAAATGTGCCCGGTAGGTATTTTCCGATGGGGAAATCTGCCAAAACCAAATAATAATTTAAATTAAATGAATGAACCTCCTATAAAATGTTTACCCAACTTCAGAGTAAATTCAAAATGTATAATAACTTGCAACACTGTAATGTACAAAATACATCTATGACAAAGTCATGAAGTGTAATGACACTGTCATTGTCACTGATACATTTTTTTTAAGGGGGGAAAATCATCGAATGACTGCTCCCGCCTGGGTGAGGCGGAAGGGAGTGTTAGACTCTTACTGACTAAAAACCACACCGTTCCTTCTCCTGCACGTCGAGTCGGACATTGCCTGTCATTATGACAGACAATGTCACACGACCGAGGTGCTTCCGTGCTTCGCGCCAATGTTTGTATAGTCTGCGTATAAAGCTACAGTAGCCAGATCCCCTACACTTATTATACTCTTTGGTAGCCAGGAGCCACAGTTGTTGGTTCAAGAGATTATGTCCGCCCTTTTTCAAAGTCCTTGCTTTCAAACAAAATTCATCAAAGATTAGTTCACTCTCATTGTAATAATGTTCACCTTTTTTTTAACATCAAACTCACCAACCAAAAACATGGAGCCATTTTTGACATAATAAAGACATACGATAGCTTGATAGCTCTGAATTTCCCCTTTAAATATTATTATACTATTTGCTCTGAAAGCACTAGACATTCCGAAGAAACACATGTCTACACGGCGAGCGATATATTTATAGACAGAGTGTGCACTGCACTGGGACCCCATGGCCCAAGTGTTCTGACCCCAAACGGCTCAAACCGTAGCGCATGCAGCAGTACTTAGTTATAAGTTAGTATAGCGCGTTTATGTCAAAACACAATAAATACGTATTTCAGGAATATTGGAAAAATAAAGAAGGAATGAAATAGTGGTTGAAAATTAGTATGGGATTTACATTATTTTATTTTTGATCTAGGGCGACACTAAGCGTCGTATTTATAGGCTATTCACAAATTAATAAGTTTTCAGGAGTTTTGAAAACTTTCCTCAATAAAAGTCGTTAGTAGGTGTATAATTATCATAACATCACGCCTTTTATCCCCGGAGGGTTAGGCAGAGGTGCACATTACGGCACTTAATGCCACTGCACACTGTAACACCCACTTTTCAATATTTATATTACCAGTCCCATGTAATTAAGGTGAGCCTATTGCCATATACCGGGCACAATACCAGACTCCATGCTAATACTGATATTTTTTTTTAAACCCAGTACATCTTCGGCCTACCCAGGAATCGAACCCGAAACTTGTTGCCGGGCAGTCGTATTAGCAACCACTCGGCCAACAAAGCTAGGTATATGACTTGCATTACATTTGGAGTACATTATCTAGAAACAGAAAGAGGGGAAAATAGGGGTTTACATTTAGTAGGTTAGTCACTAACCGTCTTATTACAAAAGTTAGACCTAGTACTGGTTTAAACCCGGACTATAAGATCTAGGTTTGTTACGGTATTAAGGCTAGTACCAGGACTAAAATTTGTTCCAACTAAAAAACTAAGACTATTCGGGGATCAGATAATACCAAAGAAAGTCCATAGGCCCACAGATAAAAAACATAAATAGCATTCTTTCATTCGTTCACTCAGGATCCACTTGGAGCAACGTTCCGTTCGTCTAAATTACTCTAAATATTGTTATTACAATAACGCCTGAAATACTTAAATAATTATGTTTCAACACAAAATTATATCATAAATTGTTTTTTGTTTGTGTTACCATATAGTGAACAAGCACAACTTGTATTTTGACGAGCTTTTTATAACCAAGTTGTCATATTTTTAACACCTCCTAGCGTGAAATGGAGCGACTTATAAGAAGGCGGCAGAGCACGAATCACATAATGTCTTTTTTATTAAATAAATATTATTGTTTATTGTGACTGACTGGAAATGGAACAACAACTGTACTTATATCGAAGTCTTCCTCACTGAAGTCAAAGGGATTTACACTTACACCATGGCGATGTCTGTACGATCGCCGAGACGTCTCTAACATGTCCAAATCTTTTAAATCCATAATAGTACGAGATCCGGCTGCAGAATCAGTGTACCAATCGAGTGTTTGCTGAAAACCAAATTTTTACATATATTCATGATTAGGAGAATTTATATCCACCAGGTTGCCTATCAAAATGTGGCCGCTAGTATTTTTAATAAAATTATTAATAATTCATAATCCGTAAGAAATTTCATTGACTTTTTTTTTCAATGAAATGTCGTCTACTTTACGGCAACATCTATAAAGACTCTGAAAAATTATGGTTGCCGTTGCGCACCTGGCCGCACCTCTTCGCAGCCAGGTATACACAGGTATGAATTTGTTACATTTATACACCCACAACGTACATTTATAATTTATATATCAAATTAAAGCAAATTTTTTTCTGTATATTATTATATACGGTTGCTTAATTAAATCTGGCCGCCAATAAGGGTTGCTGGCTAATAAATATAGTAAATATTAAAAGTAGAGTGAAAGAGAGCTAGCGCGTAACACCACTAGTCACTAGGTACGACTCAAAATAATAAATACTCCAAAAGAAACGTCTTTCTTTTCTAAAATAAAAAATTAAAAAGTCAATGACAAATTTAAAAATTACAAAAAAAATTAATATTGATGATAAATAAAATCAAGGTTACTTATGTAAAAAAATTGTGTTGTACAAGTACTGTATGAAAAAAGATTTAATTTTATTCAAGTATTACATTTATTTTACATATTCATCAATCATCAGTTTAAGCAAATTATAAATTTTTAAAATGTATTATATTTGTATTATACTTCCATGACTCTTTTTTAAAAATCTGAATCATCGGAGCTCTCAGTCACACTATCATCGCAGCTATCACTTTCATCAGAAATATCGGTATCGTCGTTATTATCGGAAGGCTTGTTCGTGGAATCACACAGCACATTCTCAACTTGCGCTGGAGTTGGATCTCCCAGGAACCATGTTGGTTTTAAAAAACCATCTAACAGCAGCCAGCCATTATTTTCCGCGCTGAACTTGATGCAATCCCGCTCAGTAGCATTTAACCACATCGAATTAACAAAGATGGTTCGCAATAATTTTTCCTTTAAAGATTTCCAGCATGGTGGAATGTGCGTTGAGTCAAAACCTTTAATTCTTCTCATAAATTTCTCACTACTTCCTTTTGAAGCGTACATTTTGTTGAATAATAAAAATCTTGCGGCATTTACACTTTGGCACTTTGGGAGTTCATACATAAGGCACGTAAAATGTTAAATCTGACGCATGCGCAATGGCTTTAAACCGTCCGACAGCTGGCAATCGCTATCCTCGTCTGACTAGTGGTGTTACGCGCTAGCTCTCTTTCACTCTACTTTTAATATTTACTATATTTATTAGCCAGCAACCCTTATTGGCGGCCAGATTTAATTAAGCAACCGTATATAATAATATACAGAAAAAAAATTGCTTTAATTTGATATATAAATTATAAATGTACGTTGTGGGTGTATAAATGTAACAAATTCATACCTGTGTATACCTGGCTGCGAAGAGGTGCGGCCAGGTGCGCAACGGCAACCATAATTTTTCAGAGTCTTTATAGATGTTGCCGTAAAGTAGACGACATTTCATTGAAAAAAAAAGTCAATGAAATTTCTTACGGATTATGAATTATTAATAATTTTATTAAAAATACTAGCGGCCACATTTTGATAGGCAACCTGGTGGATATAAATTCTCCTAATCATGAATATATGTAAAAATTTGGTTTTCAGCAAACACTCGATGGGTACACTGATTCTGCAGCCGGATCTTAGACTATAACATCAATCGGTTCAATATCCATTTTACAATTATAATAATATAGAAAATGCACGTAAATATTTCTGATAGCTAACCTCAAATAACTTTAGTACCGAAGTTAAACTAGGGGTCTCGGCGGTTTAACTTTAGTACCATAGATAGTTCCGGAACTAGTGATAATAACGTTTTATTTAGTCATGGTTTAAACCTAGTATTAATCCTGGTACTAAAAATAGATCGGGTTTTGTAATAAGACGGTAAGTCTGTAATGCACGCGAGCGAAATCGCAGGCATCAGCGTGTAATACAATAAATCATCACCCAATCTGCAAAAATCATAAATATCTATCATTTTGGATGAAGAAATACCCGAGTTTGTCCATTACTAGTTGAATGCCAGATATTGGACACTTCACAATTATTAATCTCTTTGTTAGTAGAATGCATTAGTAGAGTATGCAAAGATCATAAAATAAAAACAATGACATACATTGAAAAAAAAAGTTTATTTATCAAATGTTACAGTTGGCAAGGTTACATTATGACAAATACTTTGTACCCGTTAGTCCTGACCGGAAATGAGATTGTTATTCCTCTGAACAAAATATTTTATAACAACCTTAAGTTATCAGATAAGAGCAGGCGATGAGTAAGTATCCTCTCAGCCAATGATTAAATTACTTCAGTAAAAAATGACATTTTTATGTAGTGGTTGCTTCCGAGGTTCATCATCATATGATAATATTGTTCGTTATTCTAGATTTCGAGTAAAATTCAGTCTATAGTCACCAATGGCCCGAAACAGTAACGTGGAAAATAAAAGTCCAACGAGATGGGGCCCGGCAGAGGGAATGTGAACATACACCTACATTTATAAACATTAAATAAGTACGATCAGTTACAGCTATGCTTATCCTAAAGAATCATAAAGTAGAAAATCTCGCGAACGAGTTGTTCTATAATTGTGTTTCCATAAAAATTGTTATTATACTTAATCGTATACTAGAATGATCGAAGTGAGGTGGGCGTTGGCCGCGGCGGGCCTAAGGAAGTGGACAGTTTACCCAACATTACATTATTTATTTAAATAGGGATAACGAAAGATTATTTATCAAATCGCATTAAGTCGACTAACAACTTGAATGCACCGATATAAGACACAATAGAAAATACACCGATATTGAGTCTCGCGTGGATCCACGTTTAGACACATGAAAGGTTAAATGTCGTGCCATCACTGTCATTATATAAAGAATATGTAGTGGCAGAACTAGCCAACCGCATCTTAAAATCGAGTAGCGTTTGATATTTGGACAGAAGTGAGTTACCTCATCATTTCCATGGGCATGTAATACAGAGAAGTGATGCTACTAGGTGTTTGAAATTAATATGTAAGTTTCATTCAATATAATGAGGGATACATCCGCTTGATCATTTTAAAAGTCATTGTTAGAATCTGGTAAAACCGTCAAGCCACGCAAGCCGTATAAACTTCTTATTTAATAGAGAAGCAATAACGTCTTAGGTTAGTGACGCAAGCCATTCAATCCTATAGCCGATGGTGCGTTTAATGTAATTCGGCCGCCAGCGCCACTATTCGTCACGGTCAACTGTGGGGCTTTTAATGGGACAAGTCCGCCACAACCTCCCAAAACCGCTGCAACTCCTTTAAGCCAGGATCTAGAGTAGACTAACCAACCATGAAAACACTGAAGTCCCGCGCGTCCCAGGGACATGTATAAATAACTGTCTTGGGTCCCGACACGAAATAAATCAGAAGATATTAATAAAGAAGAATAAAACGGGTCGAGGCTAGAGAAATCTCGTCAAATGCAAGCAAACATTAACTTAGCGGTAGTCGGGCGGATCTGTCCTTTATTGTACTTATGTACCTGTACCTACCATAAATTTTAGTTGTGTTCGGTACTAATCCACTTTCTTAGACCCTGGCACAAATTTCGCGAGACTGGTTTAACAGAATCCTGGTAATGTATCTATTGTCAATCACAATATATAATCTTTGATAAAAAGTTGTCCTTCTTTTGTGGTTGGAATTCTGTCGGCGACACCAACGTGTGCACAAGTGTTAATAATTTGTTCTCTGACAACATAAAGTGAGTGCTTATACAAATACACTTCGAGAATATTTTGTTGTCAGAGAACAACATGTATAAAATGACAGTTGGAACATTTTCATTATTTAATACTTTCAAGAGGTGGCGAGATAATTATGTAAAATATAATTTTGATGGCATAAATGTGTCAATGAATTCAGTTTACGACTTACACTCGCAAAAACTGTTTATCTGGCTATTTATTCCAACCGAAGAACAATCATAAGTGTGAATGTCTCACGAAATTCGTTTAAGTTCGACATCTATACACAATAATTTATTTATTAAAATTACTTCTTCTAAACTGTGTGCGTCACTCTAGTAAGAAAGCAGTTCCTAGAGAGGTGATGTATATCAGCCAAATATATTTTTTTTTGTTTTTAGCGTTTTTGCTAGAAGAGTATTACCGCAAGAGTAAGTTTTAACAATATTTATTGAGTGACAATACGTAATATCCGCATAATGACTCACCGCATATAGACTAGTTCGTAATTGCACTGAACAAAAGTAATTACCATAGTTATTATATATCTAGGAGTACTTTTATACTGGGGTAACACACACTTTAAAACCTACTTTAATTTCTTGCAACAGTAATTACTGAGCAACGCAACTCAAAACTTATACTAAAACCATATTTACTAATTATTATTATAAGGTAATTAAAAAGTAAAAAGACCTTACTTTACAATCAAACAATTCGATGGATAATCAGCACTTGGACTTTGATAATCAAATGATCGACGAATGATTTTAAGGTTACAAAATTGCTTAGACAGGCAAATAACAATAAAATAATTACCGCTGCCGACTTATTTACAGCTCGACAGGGAATATTCATGATTGGTAAGCAGTCAAACTTCCTACATGGGGAAGAGCAAGAACGATTTCAACCCGAGACCATAGTCTCGCTTCGAACACGAAATTTTATCCTTGCCAGTAGTTCGCTTTTGAGGTATGATATCAGTTGTATAATAACAAAACTGCAATTTTCTACTACAACAATATTATACATAGATATAGAATCGGAAACAGGAATATAAATAATCATATATTAAAAGCAACAGTACTTATAGAAAACAAGTTATATGCGCTTACATATTAATGTGTTTTCCTGTGGCGAATGATCTGCCTTTGGTGGTAACCGTGCCAAGGCTGGAAACTCTAAGCTAACTTATACCGAGATCGCTAGACTTGGATACAAGAGCTCCTCTTGATTCCAGTTTTAGGAATCACTGCACTCAATGCAGTATCTGCATGTCACAAAAACTATTGTAGTTTCCCTATAAAATCGATTTTAGGTAAAATTTGTATCAAGACAGGTCGTTCGACCATCGGAAAGCAAACTTTAAATAGCGTATAATATAAACATTTCAACTATAAAAAATCTATATGCAGTCAATTATCTAGCAGACGGAAGTTGAGACAACAGTTAAATCGAATTACAAAGTAACATATCGGGAAATCATTCATTATCGATAGATTCAAAGTTCAAGGTAAATTGCAACTAACACCATTACAAAATTATAAAACAATACAATCTTACTAGTTAGAAATTATGATACCTACTGGACAACAATCATAATCGACTTCAAAATTATAAATTACGATGAAACTTCAATAGGCCGGCTATTGTTGTGTGGCAGCGAGTGTTTGTTGAGAGCGGGAGAAAAACGTTTCATATAGTATTATGACAATAAATAATAATACTATTGCCGGATTTGAAAGTCGCCGATCGTGTCCCAATCTCAACAAAAACAATCAGTAAGGACTAAGAGGCGACATTACTACTTCTTTAATACAGTAAAGGCATACTTAACGTGACAATTTAAATGCTAAACTTGAAATTTAAATGCTTATCTATGATAATCAGTATAGAAAATTGTTCTTAGCTTGTGGACAATTAGTTACATTGAATGTCGTCCCTTAGTGTGGTTCGTTTAGTGTTGTTGTAGTTGAGGCAGTTATGGGTTGAAGGTAGGCATCGAAGCGAGCTTGGCCTTGACCTCCTCGCCAGCGTCGTCACAGAGGAGCAGAGTGTGGGAGTACCCCATTGTAACCTGAGTAATGTTCAACCCATCCATACGAGTCACTTCCTTGGGGCGCGCCGACGACTTGTTGATGTCGCCTGTGCCCTGTAATTGGGAGTATTTCTACTTAGTATAATGTAACTAAATTAATAAATAAAGATCCTAAAGTATTTTAACTAACAATAACATAGACTGTCTGTTACATAGCATTTTATTTACGCTTCCTATGGATTTAATTACGATTAATAAGGGGTCAGCTGATTGCACTATGGAATGAATAGTATGACAAGTTTAAGAATACTCTCAAAACTTCCATTGCTTATTTTGATTTATTATACACTCAATAATGTGGGCAACACTAGGATTTACTACTGTCTTTGGTAAGTTTACAAACATAAAAATTCTCATACACATACACTAGGATTCAGAAAAACAATTTGTAGATTGTACAAAGATTCCTTCATGTAAGAATAACTAAATAACATGAAGAGTGTTTAAACTACAAATGCTTACCAGTTCCCCATAGGTGGGTGACACGCCCCAGGCAACGAGCGAGTCGTCCGCTGCGATCACGATCGAAGTGTTGCTGGTGCCCACGCTGCGAATATTCCAGCCTAAGGACATTTATAAACCAATGTTATTATGTTTAATACAGCAGCTCCAACCCCTCACGTTAACCTCTCTTATGAGGACTAGGAGGGCATCGTTATAAAACCGAAACACAACATCATGCGTTTTATACCAGGAAAGTTGCATTACGCCCCGTTCTTCGACAGTTATCACGAAAGTTTCGTAAATCTCAATAACAGTTAGTGAAAATATAGTGTTAATAAAACAAATCTCAATCAAAGACTTACCACTTAGGTCCTGCACTGGTTTTGGGTACATGTTTGCCTCGCCAGTGCGCTTAGTCTGCCCAAACAGGAAGAGTCCGCCTGTGAACGTAGTATAACTATTGTACTATAATTGTGCTATGAGAGAGAAGGGAGAGAACAGCTTAGCAAACAATCTTTTTTTTTTAATGGGGGAAAATCATCGAATGACTGCTCTCGCCTGGGTGAGGCGGGAGGGAGTGTCAGACTCTTACTGACTAAAAACCACCCCGTTCCTTCTCCTGCACGTCGAGTCGGAGCTCCGGTAACCCGTTAGGTTCTCCGCGGGTAAGCAATCGGCGCTGCACATGGACGTTAAAACCAGAGACAGGAGTTTGGGACGGGATTAGTTGGTAAAAAATAACCTACTACATTGATTCATGAACCTTGTATGCGCCTTCCTCCATGCCATTAACCCGTTGAAATCCACCCCCTAAATTTGGTCATACAAAAGTAGTCTCTAAACATTACAAATAAGGTCTATAATGTAATGTAATATTAGTGGAAAGCGGTCACCGGTGACCGCTTGGTGATTTATGGGTTAAACTGTGAGTTCAAGTATGTATGTAGATACTAGCTTCTGCCCGTGGATTATCGCCCGATCTCTTCAACCATTTTGACGTGAGTGAATAACATACATACACACTTTCAAATTATGATAGATTCCTATTTTTTTTTCTTTCCAAGTTAAATACTTTCGACGATATTATATTGATTTGAAATATCGTGTGACATCACGAGTTGTGACCTTTTATAGGACGTGACGTAGCGACATCCCATTCCTAAACTTAAATCTGTTTAAAATAAGTGTCTTCTTGTAAAAAAAAACACACACCACATCACGCCCTTTATCCCCGAAAGGGTATGCAGAGGTGCACATTATGGCACTTAATGCCACTGTACAATGTAACACCCACTTTTCACTATTTTTGTTACGAGTCCCATGTAATAGGAAATGAGCCTATTGCCATATAAAAAACATGACTAATATTTCTTCTTTATCTAGATTTTTAATTTTCATACCATATGTGGGAGAGCCATGCTTTGGCACGGATGGGCCAGCTCAACCGGAGTGATACCATGGCCTCACAGAAGACCGACGTGAAACAACACTCATGTTGTGCTACATCGTGTGAGTGAGGTTACCGGAGGCCCAATTACTGTCATCCCAAACTTCTTCAATCTCCGAATCCCCAACTATCCTCAAACTCCTAATCCCCAACAGGCTGGTAACGCACTTGTAACACCTCTGGTGTTCCAGGTGGCCATGGGTGACGCCGATTGCTTACCATCAGGTGATCCGTCTGCTTGCTTATTGGCTTATGCCATGAAAAAATTACTGTATATTTAAATGTAAGTATTTGCGCTGTTTTGTAAATGTGCAATAAAGTTGCGTTTTACACATAACCCATACACACACCCTTTTAAATTTATTTAGTAAGTATGAGTAATATTACCGAGTTCGTTGACAGCGAGGCTGTAGGTGCCGCCGCAATGCACGGAGCGTACGCCGCGTGACTGCGACTCGAAGTACTTGATCATGCGCGGCACGCTCTCGTCCTTTTGCTCGGCGTGACCCAGTCGACCAAACCCACCGAAACCCCAGCTGTAGGCACGCTTCCTCGAGTCTATAGCCACCTAAAACATTCAGCCATATGATTTGTCAGCTTTAGCAAACTATAATAGAACAATGTTGCATGTTGTCACGTTAACCATTCGTTGTTTTTAGAACACTAATTGTAGTAAATTATTAGACAATATTGTTGTTTAGAAATTACAACTTGGATGTAATAATAAAGTATTTTACATTGCACTCTATTCAAATAATAAGTGTTTAGCTTATGGAAGCAACCCAAAAACTGATAAACGGAGTTGGATACCATTGTATCCCTTCATGTTATGATTGATCTTTTTCTATTCTATTCAACTAGTATTTATGACATAAAAGAGGATAGTATAAAATTATTATCAGCCACAAGACGCCCACCAATGCTAAACATAGGCCTACAATGACCTGCAGACAGTCAATTGGAAGCCTACGTATCTAGTGGCTTTTTGCAATCTTTATTAACTTACAGTGTGATTATTCCCGCAGGAAAAGTCGACGATCTCTACGTCCTTGACGATGTTGATGTGGCCCTCCTTGGTCTTCTCAAAGAAGTGGGCGACATGCTTCGGTACGGTCTCGAAGTGGAAAGACAGCTTCGTTGAGGTCACGAAGTATTTGCCGTCGGTATTGTGACCTGTGTTGCAAATTATTTGCTATATTTTAGTAAACAAGTAGACAGATCATCTGACGGTAGGCGTCATGTACATCCACGATGCAATTACAAGAGTGTTGTCAATAATTTGTATTACTCTGTTTATTATGGACATGTACTATACTTTCTGTGTTTCACACTAATTGGGTGAGGGTCCTTGGCAAAGTTTTTAGAAATAAGTATGCTGTTTGACTCTAAAACCCATGACGTCACAATACACAATCTCGTGCAAAATTCATAGAAAACTGTCGTTTTTGACAGTTCGAAAAAAGTATTGAATTTGACTAGTTGGCAAGTACTCAATTGTATTAAATTGACCAAATGGACTGATCTAGCCGGTACACTGTTCAAAAGCACAAACAAGTCTAAAGTATAGTGATGATATGCTGCATGATTGAGGGTGCATAGAGATATTTGATTATTGTATTGTCTTACCAAGTTGGCCATACTCGGGCAGTCCGAAGGAGTGCAAGGCTCCATTACAGTCCAGGATCATGGAGAACTCAGCACCGCAGCCTACCTTCACAACTGGAGCACCACTGCAATATAGATTACATTGTCAATTTGTTAACGTAATATGTTGCATGAATTACATTATCATAGTGATAACGAAAAGTACACAAATAGATGGGTGGATAATACTCGTCAGTTTAACGTTACTCGTTCATCATCATCAACCGGAAGACGTCCAAGGCTGAACAAAGTCCACTTTAGCCCTCCACGTCCAACGACAACTCGTCACCCGTGACATCGCTGATGTCGTTGGTCCAGCTAATAAAAGGCTTGCCTATGTTACGTCTTCCGGACTATGATCTCCATTCGTTGACTAGGAAAGTAACCTATTTTCCGTCTGTCCTTCGAGTGATATGGCCGGGAAGTAAGTAATATTATCCTTTTTTTTGAGGGGGGAAAATCTTCCAATGATTTCTTTCGCTTAGGGTTGGCGAGAGGGAGTGTCAGACTCTTACTGACTAAAAACCATCCCGTTCCTACTCGTGTACTTCGAGCCATAGCCCCAGCAACCCGTTAGGTCCTCCGCGGCTGTAACTCCATCTGTGGTGGCTGTTTGAGGCGCGCGCGGAGCGCCACGTGCCGACATAGTTGAAAGCAACCAGCAAAATAATTTTGCATCATTTCTTTTTTCTGTTGGATACCTGTCCCCAATACATCTAGGGTAATATGAATAGACTGGATGACATCGGCTTCAAGCAGTAACGTAATACATATTTTACTTGCCTGTATCGCACTCGAGTCGGTTTCAACACTTGAGGCGTAGTGTTGCCGATGCCGCACTGACCGCACTTGTTGTCGCCGCAAGCGTACACGGTACCCGTATCTGTAATAACAAAAATATATTACAAAGTGGCAAAGTGTGAAGCTTTAACCAATGTGCTTATTTTTACAGATGTATGAATGTGAGGAAGCTACATAAGTGTGTAACGATCGTAGTAGCCGCTTTGTAATTTTAGCTACTTCCTTAATGGCGTTTTTTCCGGTCTATGTACTAGAACCCATTACACATTCACACATATTTCCGACGGTCTCTAGTCTCCCTGCATATATTTAAGTTGATCTCTTCAAACTGACCTGTAACAAAGAGCGTGTGGTGTCGTCCGACGGCGGCGTGGATGATGTTTTTGCCGCGCAGAGCGGGGACCGGCTCCGGCACATTGCGGGTCACCGTGTCGCCAAATCCAAGCTGACCGCAAGTGTTACGACCTGTATCAAATAAACAAATATTTTGAGGAGGTTCATATTCCAGCAGTAAACTCTGGAGGCTGTACATGCAAACAAAGGCGATCATCTTAAAAAGAAGGGGGGTTTGTTATATTTCTCACGCTTTGCAGACTGTGGTAGACAGATTAAAGTTTGGTATTTGGTAGTCAGGTCTAACAATGGTAAAAAAATATACTAACCAAAAGTGTACACCTCTCCATGTTCATCCACCAGCACTGAGTGGCCAGCGGAACAGCTACTGGCAATGAACCGGTACTGAAAATCATAATGAGTGAATGACTCTATGTGCCTTGGGTGAAGCAAGATATAGTGTTAAAGTCATATTGACTAAAAACCACCCCCGCTAGTCCTGCCCGCGTCAGGTCCTTGGTACCTTTCTGGCCCTTTTTGTTTTATCCAGGACAAAATGTTCATATTTACTCGCTACACAAACAAGTGTAAATAAAACTAGTTACCTTGCGATCAGTAAATTTGTGGAAGGTGTAAAGGTTGGGATGCGTTCTCTTAGTGGGGTTGTTGTCGCGGCGCGCGACCAGGTCCCACGAGACCAGACCAGCTATCATCAGCACTCCTGGTGTCTTGTACAGAGCTTTCAGTACCTCCTGTAGAGACAAAGCAGTGCAACTGTTTTGATTACATGATTAATTAGATGAGTGGTGACAGAATCGAAATCGGAGGGCCAATTCCTCCTTCTTCCAAACGCCTTTGGTGTTACCTGTGTCCATGAGGGGCGAAGATTGCTTACCATCCGATGATCTGTTTGCTCGTTAATCGGCCTATACGATAAGAAATCCATTTGTGATTATCCCTCTCTTTGCACGGGTTTGGTGTCGACTAAGACTAACTGCGATATTAACAAGAGACCAGTAGCGTTCTCTGATAAACCTAGTTTTTTTTATCTGCGATGGCCAACCCGCCGGCCAAGTGTGGAGAGATTATAGCAAATCCCTCTTATATAGGTGTCTTCTCTCCGTAGAACATAATATCTCAAAAAAAATCAAGTCTAAGTTCTTCTGCATACTCCCTAAGTAGGTTTGCAAAATTATAAGAAGATGGGACGAGTCGATGAATCGTAGAAAACTCCTTTCGCTTTTGTAATATTTGATTCGACCGTCGCTGCCGAGCCTAGTATCGAGTTGGCGATCTCGATAGTTTGTTTTACGTTTTAAACTGTCAAACACCAAGCGGTTACCGGTGACCACAACCTATTGTTCTATAATTGTGTCTATAATGACGGTACTCGACAAGTTAAGTAATCGTAACGTGTACGCGTTCGATGCTCTGAGGCCTTAGTACAAGTTTATTTTACGTTTAAAGTATTCGAAACGAGACCTCGAAATCGAAACGCAAGTACGCGTTCGGCGCGCTAATTGGCCGCCCCCAATGAACCAACCAATCAGAGGCCTTAGTACGAGTTTGATCGAAACGAGACCTCGTTCGGCGCTCTGATTGGTTAGTTTATTGGTGCCGGCCAATTAGCGCGCCGAACGCGTACTCGTTTAGATTACTTTAAACGTAAAGTAAACTCATACTAAGCCTTAGGTCGGATATACATAATACCCGACCGATATACATAAAAAATATACTTATTATTTCGAATTTGCGAAATTCGCAGTAATCTCAAAGTTTGGAATTTTCTACTGTCTCTTTCACCTAGAACAATAATTTGTCACACGTACTTCAGGTAACCGCACAGTGGGTTCCTCCTGCATGGGTGAGGGGCTGCGTTGCTGTTCCTCCTGGGGCTGCTCCTCCACTGGAGAGTCTTCGCTCTCCTCGTCTTCGGAAACTTGCTTCTTCGGCTTCCTGTGCTTATTGTGACGGTTGTTTCGTGGCGCCGCGTGCCGGTAAGGCAACGGCTTGCCATCCTTTGTCATACTGCCTCTGGGGACTGGATATATTATAGTTATTAGCACTGTGTGCTAACTAGCAATTGCACGATTGTTTTGTTATGCGAATAGTAACAAATGTGACTGTCGTCAAGTCTAGTCTAGTCAAGTCTGGGGTCGCTGTCGATGTATATTAACTATTGCACAGCCGTCATAACTAACCTATCCCTTCCGTGCATTATTTTTTTATATGTAGGTACTACATATTTCATACTTCCCCGACTAGTTTCGAGTCACACTAGGTTCAAACAAAAACTAAAATGATACATTTTATGCGAGTTATGATAATAATTATAATACTAGATCTATTATTCATCGATGATTTGGTTGACAACTGTTCGGTGTTTGGAACTATTGCAATCACGTAATTTTAACACGGGATTTACCTTTGCAATTTGTTTGTTTGTAAATTAAACAATGTGTAGACAACAACATTGTCTACGCTGCAAACAGTCGATACTAGGCTCTTTGTGAACACGAGTGTAACAGACTAGTAGGTCTACTCTGATTCGACGAAAAACGAAGTTTCGTCCGTAATTCCATTATCTATTACGAAGTTTCGTGACTGAAATAAGCAGACATGACTTCGTATGAGATATATGACGTTTAATTCGGAACCCTACTCTAATAGTACAATCTGCACGAACGGAAATTTTTGTTTCACTCATTATTCTTCGGGCGTTTAATGTCATTACGACGAAACCAAAATAGGGGTCGTTTGATCTTTGTTTCAAAAATGAATGAAATTAGTTACGTTATTAGTTCTTCTTTGTCTGGGCCTCACGACTCAGGGAATCCTAGTGTGGGGTCCAGAGCCATACAAGTATGCAACGTGAAGCTTTTTGTCAGTAAACATATTTTTATTTTTTTATAAACACGATTGTTTCGTGTGATCAACACGTAGGGCATTAAAGAAGTCGCATAATAGAGATAATTATAATCAATGTACAGTTAATTCAAATAGTTGTTAACACGAACCTATACTTTATTTGGTCTATGACAGTAACATTTCGTCAAATTAAATAAGTAGAGGCAAACATATTGATTAAACTAATAATACCGCTACAAAAGTAAACTTAAGCATTGCGAGTATAGGTTTATTTTAGCTATTGCTTTCAAAAATACATTGTTACACAAAATAATTTAATTTCTTTAAATTTTCATTACAGACATTTAATATTTTTAAACTGACTGTACTAAAATAATACGAATAAATTTGGTTGTTATTGTTATACTACTATTATATAAAGCGGAAGAGTTTGTTTGTTTGTTTGTACGCGCTAATTTCCGTAACTACAAGTCTGAATTGAATAATTCTTTTTGTGTTGGATAGTGCATTTATCGAGGATGGCTATAGGCTATAAAACATCACGCTACGACCAATAGAGCGCCTGAGCAGAGCGTGTGAAACCGCGCGGAAGTAGCTAGTTTTATAAATAAATGTCAATAAATGACAATACCAATCTTTGTAAAGTAAGCTTTGAAAGGAGGTTCTTATCGTGTTTAAGGTTTGCCGTGTTAAATCTTAATTTTGAAACCTAATTTTTATTATCTTGATTAATATGTGGACTAAACCACGATTTTATGAATCTAGCAATATTTTACATCTAAACCTAATTAATTATCTTCATTTCATTCGTTCGTTTTAGTTTACGAATGTTGTTTATGATTCCGAAAATGTTATTTGCAGCCGAAAATCAAACAAAGCTTCGCATTCGAGAACCGGAGTAGACCTCTAGGTTGCAGGGACAATGTTTGTTCGAGTCGAGCTATGTCATGTAACTGTACTGGCTTAATTCATTTCCATTTGTAAATAAAAGTTTTCCTGCGACTGCAACATTCAACGACGAAAATTCACGACAAGCGCAGTTTGATTGAAATTCAACGTAAGCAGAACAGTGTTTTAGTTCAGCTAGACGTCGCACGTTATTTATAATGTACATTTACCTGTGAGGAACAAGCACAGGGCAAGATTCTCTATCGAATATCGTTATCATACGTTTAATTCGTTTTGCATGCAGTGCCCTGGCCGGTACGCAAACACTTAACAATTTAACACGATTACTTATACCGAGAAGCTCGCCCGGGGGCCATGTCCTGCTCCTTGCATAAATTAAATTATTATAGGTAGCGTTGAAGTACGAGGTCCCCTGTTTCATATCACATCATTATTTATCAAATGGAAATGTAGTTTTATACGGTAAGGGGAAACCATGATGGAATCAGGGGACGAAGATTTTGAAATATTCATACATGAATTAATGATTATGTCCAGAGGTTTAAAGTCATAACCGAAAGCGTCAACTCAAGCATTGGCGGTCGATGACATTGATGTACTATGATCTTGATTCTGTCTAAGAATAAATAAAATAGCTAGACGCCGACGCTAAATTAGTGAGCCGGGGCGAATTCTAGAACCTAAGAAATGATAAAGGCACATCGTACACCGCAGCTTTTGTCTCGGTGACGACAGATGTCTGTGGCCTAAGGCTAGCTTATTATCCCGTGGGCCGGTCGCCGTCGGCCTCATCCAATCATAACACGAAATATTAGACATATTCAATAAAGAACCCCGTACCTACAGATCAATAGTCTATTTAAATATACTCGAAAGCCTCTCGACTTAAGAAGTATTCCTGTCGCTACATTACTCCTTAGACAGACAGGGACGGTGAGATACCTGAACGCACCTAATTTAGAAGCTTTTCGGTGTTGTTGTAATGTACATCATTTTTCTTTGTTTAAAAACAAATGTTACCGAATTAGGTGCAGCTAGTCTAGCTAAATAGAATGCTGTTGATAGATAACGCTTTCTCATTGTTTTATTGGTTTTCGCAACGGCGAATACAATTACCCCGAACGATGTCCTCTACGTAATATACTGTACTGTATTGAACGGAACAAGTTAAAGTTTAGTTGGGGAGACGCGAATGCTTGGCAACCCATTATAAGTTTGTTAGTTCAAATTTTCGTGTTCACTGAGCTTACAGTATCAGATTCGAAATACAGATGTAATTCAGTTAGTATCCGATACAGAAAGTTTCTGTGAAACTAATATGGAGTTCGTTGATTTCAAGATAAGTCTGTTAACTAGAGAAAATGTCGTGCTTCATTTATAATTGCAGTTTTGTATATTTGTTACCGAAGTTAAAGATGTAATGTTGTTAAAGTTTCTTTTTAATTGTTGTTATTAGTTACAATAAGGTACATGGAACCTAACTATTGGCAATGGGGCAAGCGAGTGTACCTACAAATTTTCTGAAAGCACTTTAGTACTGTTCACTTCGCAGTAGAAGAAAGGACGCTACATTACAGACTCAATTATATCTGAGACGACATACCCTTGAGTTGTCCGCCACTCGACATGTCCAGTGCATTGTATGCCAATTGTATCAAGTGTAAGGATCTAACAATATATCATAGGTGCATTGCACTGCTTGACACGGGTCGATTAACAATGTGCTCCGCCAATTGGTCGCAATTGCTTGTAAGTGACATATTGTCACGCCACCGATTACAGGCACGGTGCACTTTACCTCCGTGCTTGCGCACAAATGGGCCAACTCAACCGGAATGATACCATGGCCTCATAGAAAACCGGCGCGGCGTGAACAAATACTTGCATAGTGCTTCTCTATAAGCGTGAGGTTACCGGAGATCCAATCACACTGGGGTTACTGCTGTCCACGGATATCGTTGATTGCTATACTATCAGTCTGATATCTGATTGTCCCCATAATAATCCATAAAAGAACGTCCGTTCGTTTAATATTATTTTCACTTGTTTGTAGTCAGCGTTCAACGAAGGGTAACGTAAGCATAACTGACATGCAGTTACTCAGCAAGAACGAATTGTAATTTGTAAGTGGTTGTATCGTTCAACTGCTGTCTTGAGTGGTTGTAAGCGCGGTTACAAAGCATAAGTATTAATTGTTAATTTTCCCAAATAAATAAAATAAGGTTTCCGGTTCGAATATATTGTTGGGAAGTACTGGGTGGCAAATGTTGGTTTTAACTTTGTATTGTAAATAGCATATTTTTTTTCTATAAGCACGAAATGTACAAAATATACTGACAGATATGTAGGTACGTAAGTTATAAACGTAATGCACTCGGGATTTGATGAATATCGATCATGCAATACGAAATTGCGGGCAGCATTTGGTTCTATGATATAAACCTGTACGATTGAAAACAGGCGATTCCTTTAGATTAATATTTTAATAAGGTATATCGGGTATGTGAAGAGCAATACGCACGTATCGACATTGTATTGTTTTTTTTTTTTTCGTTTTTTAAGGGGGATAATCATCGAATGACTTCTGCCTGGGCTCACCCTGCGGGAGGAAGTGTCAGACTCCTACTGACTAAAAAGCACCCCGTTCCTACACTTCGAGCCGGAGCCCCGGCAACCCCTTTAGGGTATTGTATGGTATGGAACTATAGACCAGCGATCTAATACCTAGCTAGTTGAATACGGTACTTATATTTCTTTGAAATTTACAGATCAAATACTTCGGTGGACTTAATGCTAGAACCAATATCGACCAGTTTACGATTTAAGAGAGTATTAAGTAAGACCAACATAGATTTGTTCGTTATGTAAAATCATTTAGCTGAAATGAATCCATTTACGTAAAAGTGCCCTTACAAATGTGGAATGAACACAAACTAAACTGTTGTAGTAACTCCCTTATAGAAACCCGACAACTATTGAGAAGTTGAAAGCTTTATAATATGCTCTGGTTTAATATTAGTACAATTTTATTACGAGAATGTATACGACAGGTATAAATTGCTCTCTGAGACGACCGACTCGAGGGAGACGCAACTCTTTCTAGAAATGTACCTTAACATTCTTTGCACAGTGGAGACTCCGGAGCTAATAATCAGAGGAACCGGTTACTTTTACTTCTAGTGATGGTGGCCACCAGGGTGGTTTTAGTGAAGTAGGTAATTCTTTCTCTCCAAAAAAGAATACTTTTGAAGCCCCTTGCCAAAA